GGTAATGAAGGACTTACTCTCCCAGGCACCATGTAGTCACATTCACCACCACCAGTTCCCTTGGTTCTGCATGAGCAGCAACAATTGAGATGACAAAGCATTTTACGGGATCAGAGATGTCACTTCCCAAAACTAAAGTACAATGACACTTTCCCAAATTAAAATACAATGGGATGTGGCTGGATGTTCTGGCAGGCTCCAAGAGCTCTGCATTGCCTTATGGATGGTCAGGGTAAGGCTTCCAGCAGCGAGCAGCGCTGCTCAAAGGCAGAAGCAGGCTTAAGGGATGGTGAAAGCAGGGCTGGCTCCCCATCTACTTCCTAAACCTTAACTGCATGTATTTTAAAGCAGTGGATGGGAAGGAGCCCTGCACACAATGGTGCAGCGGCTGTCCTACGTGCCCTTGCCCTCAGGCTCACTGCATCTACTGCAGGTGCCCCATGCCCAGGCTGTGGCACAATCCAGGACATGCTGCTCATCCTGACAGCTCAGAAACAAATGGATAACTAAAAGACTGGGAAAAAATAAATCAAAAGGAGATTTACTATACAGTGAAAGGAGGGGAAAAAATGGCATATTTTTCTCTTCTCCTCCCTGTTCCAGAGGTTGCTTGTGCAGTTCCCATGGGTCACTGGACAAAATAAAAACCATGCTGGGACCAGAAGCAGGACAAAGCTCTCTTTGAAGTCCTTAAATATTAGAGTCACTCCTCAGATGTTTTCTGATCCTAGTGCATCAGTGCTTTCCTGCATTACTGATAGCAGAACTGTGAAACAGCAGCAAATGCAGTCGTAACAAAACCTCTACTTTTCACCCTATTCCTTTGTTCATACATGCAAAAACCAAACTAATCCTTTAACCACCGCGTCACATCCAGAATTCACGTACAGCTGATTACCTACAGCTGTTCTCAAAATCTAACCACGACTTTGTGAAAGACTTCCCAAAAATAAAGTCTGCAAAGTCTAGGTGTAACCAACCACAATTTGACCAAATTTAGATGATCAGTTTGTTTACAAAATGTATTTTAAGTGATTCAGGTCATTGTGCATTGGAGTGTTTCCTGCTCAGAATTTACCACTCTCTTTCCCCTCATTTTTGTATGAACTACAAATTGTATCAGTCATGAGTCTGTATTTCTTTCAAGTCACTGATAACGGATGATATAGTATTGCAACAGAATGTTTTGTCTGCCTAGAAACAAAATTTTTCACTGATGAGTCTCAATTTATTTTACCAGCCAGGTTTTTATTCATCTATTAGGCTCCATGTTTACTCAGCATCATTCCAGTTTCTGAAATCTAAATGTCTTCTGCTACTTTTTTTTATACACATGACACTGACACTATGACATTTTCCAACAAATTTATAAGTCATTTAAAACCCTACATTTATTCAGTAGGAACTGTTTACCATTCATTCCAATCCAAATGAGTCTATTATAATAGCATCATTAACTATCCAACATTAGATTTCTCATTGTTTTGCCCAGGACTAATGTTAGACTGACAAACCTGTAAATTATCCTAATTGCAAACATTGTAAATATTAACTCAGTAATTGGTTTTTTTGGAGTCTTTTGGAACTTCATCTCTGCTTCAAGATTTATTCAAAATCACCACTAGTCAGAGAAACCTCTGCCAATTAATTCAAGGGCGTTCTATCAGAGTTGTTCGTATTTAATTTTAAAGTGTCTAGCTTTAGCATCTTCTGCTTTAAATACACTTAAGTCATTAATACGACAGTCACCATTGTCATGCAAGATAAACACCTCACCAGCTTTTTCCCCATGTAGAGAAAAGATTTTTATAATGCGCACTTCTTTTCCAAGATTTCTTCTATAATTTTATGACAATTCTATTATTTCCATAAAGGAATGGATGAATATTATTCTTTGAATTTCTTTTCTTCCTCCTCCTCCATCTATAATTTGCTACCTGCCTCCCCACAGACAATTTTCTTCCTGTGTCATTTTTTTTCTCTAATCATTCACAATCCTCGGCTTTCAGCTGAAAGCAACGGCTATCAGTTTCCTATAATTTACACACTTTATCCTTTAACCTGCATTTTAGAGGAAAGATCTATAAACATTCAAGGTGTTAAGACCTCTAAAATTGATAGAGCCATTTGGGTGCAGAGGGGCACTCATTCCTGACTGCTGCCCTGCTGCACTGTACCAGAGTTATTTTCTGAATGATGCTCCACATCACTCGCGATTTTCCAAACCTCTAAACTGCCCCTCTTCCACTATCTTCTCCCAGATCAAGGAAATCCAGTAAGTCCAATTGATTCTCAGCTCCCCATTGTCCTTGTCTATACTGGTGTATTTAATGATCCTCTAAGGTCTCTCTGTAAGAAGGATTCAAGCGATTTCTGGAAAGTCCTAGCCTTGAGCATGGGGCAATCAGCAATACCAGTTGTTTTAGACAAAGCTACCAGCACAAGTATTAAGGCCTTTTATCAGGCAATAACAAGAGGCAGAATACTTGCCACAGGCACAAGAGCTACCTTTCTCCATCACACTGGTTATGCCAAAAACTTCTACACAAGAGTCTTCACAGTATTACATTCTCATTCTTCAACAGAGGAAGGTGAAACCTATCTCCATCGTCTTTCTGGCATCGGTCATAAAGGGAAGAAGAACATATCATTTATAATAGTAGCTATGTTAATGAGAAGTGATTAAGGCTAAACTTCAGGAAATGTGTGTTACTTTCCCACCACTGCCAAAAAATTCCTATGTGAACCTGAACAAATAATTCTGCACTAGAGTTTCCTAGCTGTGTAATGAGGACTGTTATCACAGGATAATGATTGAGAGACACTTGCATGGTAAGGTGCTGAGGATCTCTGTGAAAAATGTTGATTCAGTTTCTAAAAGCCTTTCACAGAGAACAGGAGAATTAAATTAATGGCAGATTGGAAAGACAGGTTGTGAACTACACTTCTCTACCTTGATCTATAGCCCAGGCAACAGAAGAGTTAAGTGCAGGAAGAGAGATATCCCTGATGAATTGCCTGTCTCTAACATGACAGGTGAGGGAAAAAGCCACGCTACTGATGAAACACTGACTTTTAATCTACAAAAGTTACACACCATACTGTGATTTTAAACTTGAACAAAGAAAAAAACATCTCACTTGAAAGTGAAGAGTAACTCGGGGACTTCTTTATGTAGCACCAAGAGGGACTGGCAAAATTTTAGTTAGAATTAAATAAATACTGCAGTCTGATGCTACTCATCATTCACTAGCAGTGAAGATCCCATCCTTCGCATTGAGGAAAATGGTGTATAGGACGAGATGGTGGCAATGGATTTTATTAGACAATGTTTCTAATCAGAAGTTGGGCACTGCCAGCTCATTTCTAACCAGTTTGTTGCACGTGTTGAATGGAGCTCCAAGTATAATGTTAGAAAAAACTCTGGGCCTTATACACTCAGTCAAAAAGGTCAGTTAAAAATGCAATTTCAGATGTTAAGCCCCAGTTACATGGTTATTCCAAAGTTAATTGCACTTCCATAAGCAGAATTTGATCCAAGTCTGGGGAAAAAAGCCAGCATTTACTGAAGCTGCTAAAAGGAGCAACTTCTGAAATGTTCTTCCAGTTCTCCCAAGACAATTACTCAACAAAAGAGTACCAAGACCAGTAACAGGAAAAACAGGGGATTCATAAATGGTAAAGCGGAAGTCATTAAACAGTATCATGGAATACTACCCATGAGCAAGATTAGCTTTGTTGTATTTTTTTCCTTCATGACAGATTCATGCAGCTTTCTCAACTTTCTTCAGGAAAAGGAGGTGATAAATGGAAGAATCAAGTTCTAGCTAGAAACTCTTGCCTTCTTCCAGCACGACAACCCTTTCCAAAAACATCACATTGTTCTAACTTTATTCAAACCCTCCAAGCACCTTGTGGTAACACTGTATATTTTAGCTTCCCTGGCATTTACAAGAGTTCCTCTGTGTCAGTGACTCCTACGTCAGTCTTAAAAGGTCCAATGCAGAAAAGAACAAGGCCAATGTTATAAACATATTCAATTACTGATGGATTGCAGAAATTTTTTAAACAACTGTCCTTTGCCGTGAGGTGCAAAGGAACAGAAACTCATGCTGTCAACAGAGCAGAGTTATTATTATTCTAGATGCAGATTAGCTTCACTAAAGAGATATTTATTGCTTCACCTGCCTTGAACTATAACTGCAGACTCTTTGACAAATGGCTTGTAGCAGGTTTAATCTTCATGGAGGTCCATAGCCTTGTAAATACTGTGACAAGTCAAATTTGTCTACTGCGCAGCTATAGATCAGCTTTTGGAGTTATCTGCTGTTCGGAGGAGTATCTCTCTTCACCAAGCCCGTAACTTGGCTAGTAGGAGGCTTACATTTAGCAGACCAGCTTGTACTTCAATGCTTTGTGAAAATGATGAGGCCAGGACCTGAAGATGGCAGATCCCACCCACAATTTTTATTGCTTTGAAGATTGTGTAGGCACTGTATAACCGTCCTCAATGTCATCCATTTGAATATGCTCGCCTGATCATTTTAAAGCAAGCAAACTCCGTGAACGTACTGGTTTAGTTTAACAGCAGGCCATCAGAAAAACAAAACATAGCAAAGCCTCCAGAAGGATAACCTTGAGTTAATCCCACATCGAGGAGGAACATTTCTACCTTGTTTATGGGAAGACCCCACTGCTATGGCTGCAGCAAAGGAAGGCAGCTCATTTTGCCAGTGCCAAGGACAGACACAGCAAGGACACAGCTGCAGGATTTGAAACAATACTACCAGAGGTAGCATCTTTTACAGATTACACTGCATAAGCACCATCATGGTAAGGTCTGCAAGAATCACTGTATTTGCTTTAGTACATCACTCTCAACTGGTTAATGGTATGGCAGCAAAGAGTAAAACCCCAGGCTTTTTTAGGCCTAATAAATTGTGCTTACCACCAAGGGACTCAACAATTATAGCGAAGGTGAAGCTTTGGAAATACCCTACCTTGCGAGAAGCATTTTTGTCTGCGCTCTCCACATCACCGTCCAAGAATGGCATGGCAAACGAGCTGAGATCCTGCCAGGAGAAAGAAAAAAAATTGATGTCCTATATTAATGTCTTCTTCCTTCCATCAGAGCATCCCATGATTGTAGCCCTCGTCTTTATTTCTGAAGTGCCCACTGCTTTACCCATAGCGATTGCTGGTAAGCAACAACACAGGTTCTGATCATACTCCTTGGCTGTGACACCAATGGCAGATGTAAGGAACAAGTGAATACAGAGCCCTGAGCAGCACTTGCACTACATCACCATAAAAGGCACCCATGCAGCCAAAGTCAAAAGTCCTGTGCTAAAACTTTCAAGGGGAGGTACCCAAATCCTACAGAAAATTCACAGGAAATTACAGTTTGAATACAGCCACTTGCTCAGCAAACGGCCTATCCTGCCTTTAGTGGTGTGCATAATCTTAGCTTAAAGAGTATTTATGGCAATAAACAAAACCTGAATGAGAATATGTTGATGTTCTGAAAAATATGTAACATACATATAACAAAGGGGGAGAAAACTGCAACATGGTGCTGGGGGAGGAAATAACCAATTCACTTGCACAAATGAGAGAGCAGCACCCAATTCTGCGTGACTAAAGACAATAAAGCCATAAGAAAAGCACACATGCTCATCTTTAACTAACAAAAACAAACTGCAATTATATTCTACCTCCTGCCGTCTGTTCTGTTTATTTTACTTCATGTTCCAGCCACAGGGTTTTTAGAGCTCCTTTCCACATGCATAAGGAAATTATGTTAGTGTCAAGTTTAGCATCTGTTTGATCAGAAAAGTAGATAATGAGTAATCCTGTGACCAAAAGCATGAAGTTGCCTAATGCTGTATGCTAAAGAACTGAATCTTGGATCTCAAATCTTGATCTAAATGTCAGGAATACCTCCCCAAAGCAGAACCTCCCAGATGCAAGGCATCACCCTTTCCATGTAATGATTCAGTGCCTCGCTACCATCACATCTGCATCCCATTTAAAATAGTTCAAAACATAAATAAATAGCAATTTCACGTAAACCTAATTTGAGATTAAATAGAGCTTAATTAAAAATTAGCACCGTCTGGGAAGTCTGCAAGGCTTGCTTGCCTTCCTTCAGAATTCAGAGCAGCCACAGGTCTAATCACATCACATTGTGTAATCATACTAAATCCAAAATATGCTCAAAAATGTGTATAACTCAGGCATAATCCTTACAAGTGTTTGAAAATATTCTGGTTACATAATGAACAACAAAAATAAGGAACAAAATATTGAATTACTGGAACTGAAGCACATAGGAGTAATTCATGCCAAGTTGGAAAGGAAAAAAGAAAAAAGCAGCAGCCGCCAGGCTTGGCCAAGCTGGCCCCAAATCATTAGGCCACAAACCAAAGTATTCATGACAAATTACCATGCTCCCGCTCTATCTATGCAAACTCAATGGGAGCTGTCTACAAAGGCCCAAACTCCAAAGCACTAACCCAACTACATAACTTCACCCTCATCGCCATGCTTTGACGTCTGTGTTTCACATCACCTTTGCTTGCAAATGAAAATGTAAGCAAATATCTCAAAACTAAAAGAAGCAGCAATTTGTTTGGTTTAGATTGTCAAATCTGTTATCAAGATTTCACAGAAGCTGAACCAGGTACTGCAGGACCTTAAAGAAAAGCTCTGGTATTAATTTGCTTATTCTTATAATTAGTTAAGACCAAACCGACTCACTCCATAGAAAAATTATTCATCCATAAATAGCATTTATAAACACTGTCAATAAATAGTAGTATTGTTGTTGTGATTATTATTCTTCTTCCCACTTTTTATGTTATGGCAAGACTTAAGTGAAGAATCTCTGTGAAGAGGTTTAAGAGCCTAACGGAAAGTTACACAAAACACATCCCCTTGTGTTTATTTTAATTTAGCCAAAGGATTTACCAACATTTTCCTCTACCCATCTTTGGTAGTGCAGAAGCTGGAATCTGCTGCGTCTTAAGCCATTTTCCATGGAATAAATCAAGGAAATAACCTCTTTTGAGCTTCACATACTAGCGTCCCTATAGTACTGCTATGTTATAATCCAGAGAGAAAACCTGCTGTTTAAGAAGACCGGAGACTGGATGAAAGAAACGGGGTTTACGGGGATGCATATCTAGTAATCAGGGTTGAAAAAGCTATTCAGCAAATCTGGAACAGCTAGGAATAAAACCATAACTTCTTTTTTTGAGCAGAAACCTTCAAAAACAGGATGGGGTACGTAGGTGCAACTATTTTTCTAGGAGCTAAATTTCAGTTCCCAGTTACAATTCCAAGCTTAAGAACATGCATATATTAAAATCTAAAGTCTAAAAGTATCATGAAACCCACTGACAACTCTGTTCTCATTTGTAACTCTCAAATATCATGGAGATAGGCTTATTTCATCTGTCTTTACATGCAGAACAGGAGATCTCCACTTGTAAGCAGAAATACCTGGAGCTATACCTCTCTGGACAGCATGAGACCTTTCTTTGTTAATGCAGTGCTGAAGAATATTTCAAACAAGATAATAATTTACTTTTAACCGTGTGATAAAGTCAGTAATTGCAGCTGCTACCTAACAACTTTTTAATCTTTCACTTCTTCACGGGATTCTATATGTGAACGCATCCATTTACGGAAGCAGAAAATATGTATACCAAATGCCAGGCTGCAAATACTGCTCCGTCAGTTCTGAACTGCTGGTTAAGCAAGGAAATATTAAGTGCTTGTTTTCTCTTTGCATATATCTCTGCAGAATACAGACTAAAGATCTATTCCTTTCTTGTGATCCTTTTCATCCAGAAGCACATGTGATGACGCAGCTGATGACACAGTAACTTAAAAAAGATAAAACAAACACTGCTACAAAAGTATTGCAAAACACCAGAGTACTCTTGACAGGCCAATGGTGCAGCCCTAGCCCTTATCACGTATCCGCCTGCTCTGATCTTGTGCCAACCGACACACACTGAAGGCTTGCTCTGCCATTAACCTGGGATTGAAACTGTTCTTAGACAGCTTTCTTGCTCTCCAGCTCTGCTTTACTGCACTTGGAATAAGTGCACTGGAAAATCACGTGGTTCTGAAGAGACATTTAAAAAACTTCCACCAAAGGCATATAGTGATGTCTTGGTACGAGGAAAAGTCTTCCTCATTTGAGACCGCAGCACCCTGGCTGAAGAACAAATGGCATCACTCCCTGTATCCATCAGTCCTGCATTATATCCTCAGACAGACAACTTCTGGAGAGACCAGTCTATGTTCATCCCTGTAAGCAACAAACATCACCAGAGCTTACTGCTCCTATGAAAAGTCGGTTCTGCAAAGTTTCGTTAGCTTTCCTGCCACGCTCCTGTTCCTCAGTCAGTCCTTCACGGAGCTCAGGGCTATCCAACAGCCAGACAGCACTCCTGCCAGCCCTCATTAGAAAAAATGACCTCTTGAGCAGTTTAGATTTACTTTACAGCCACAAAGCTGCTTCAGTTTTATTTTGTTTTCAATCCACTTTTATTTACAAGAGGTTGTCATGGCAGCTCCTGTTATATTCGCTGAAGAATACCGCCCCAGGGATATCAAAGCTTTTTCTGGAGGACAGCAGAGCTGTGACACAGCAGAGTCACAGCTCGGTGCTCCTGCTACCAGCCAGGCTCCCTCCTGGGGAGGGAAATCTCCCACAACACCTATTCAACAGGCGATTCTCCAGGACTTGTCTTATTGATAGCACCAGAGGTTAATGGATCTGAAAAAGCAACTAAATTGACTTTATTGTTTTTAACAGGCTTGGCTGCTTCTTTAGTTTTTGTAGGGTGTAACTTAGGGTAATTCTGCCTGCAAGTGCAGTTACCTTCTCTACCACTTCTTTCCCTGTTTCCTCTGGGGGGAAAACAGACACCTGGAAGGTTACAGGTTCTTCATGCTAATTTCTCCTCCAAAGGTGAGACTAACTCTGAGGTGATTCTTGTCTGGGTTACCCCTACATGATCCTTCCTAATTCCAGCTCTCTTTCCTTTGACAGCCCTTATAGCAGCATACTTGGGGTTATGTGAAAAGAAGGAAGAATAAAACTTTTGTTCTTTCATATCTTGGGAAAACAAAGAAGCTTTTCTCAGAACTGTTTTGGAGAATAGGAAGGAAAACCACATTTTAGGATACAGAAGGCAAATATACTGGCTGGCATAGCAGAGCCAAATAGCAATAAGAGCAAGATCTGGTTAGCCAAGCCATTTTTCACCTTTTCCAGCCAGTTTCACCGTTCCTTTCCTTACTGGCGAGGATTCCTGCCAAAGAGGCTTGCCCAGACTTGCTGATCTGGATGTTGCTGCAGTTGGAGACCTTGGTGTCAGAAGAAGGCTTCCAGCAGTTCTGTTGCAGAGGCTGTGAGCTTAAATAACAGACCACTAAAGCCTTGAATCCAGTAAACAGCACAGAATAAACAGGATTCTTTTTTTAATTATTGTTTTGTTTCAAGGCTACTTTAGGAGCCAGGCTGATAAAACTCCTCTGCAACGGCTGAAGCCAAGGAGCCAGCCAGGCACCCTGGGGCATGCTGTGATTGACAGGTCAGAGACCAATTTCCAAGGTATTTTGGGTGGAAGTAGGATATTTTTATGGCCCTGCTCAACAATGATCCAAAATTTCAGGGCTGGGTATCAAAAGAATACTTCAGAAACAGCTCCCTGCTGCCATCCTTTGCAACTGTCCCTTCAAACACAAGGCACAGCCATGAACAACACCGTCACGTGAAATCCGTGCCCACGGGAGTGGGTCTATGCCCCATGAACACGGTCAGCTCTTTGGCCGTGTTTCAGAGATGAATCACGTCAGAATAGCTTCATGGTAGCCTCATGGCTCATCTCTGCTGAAAGGCTGCGTTCCTCAGCTATAAGCAACTTCAGAGTCCTAGCGTAGGTAGCATCACGCAGTCGTGACTACCGACGGTGTCACCTATGAGATGTTATTTTTCTGCTTCACGAAGCTCTATACGTGTGCTAGGATTGCACCAAATTTAAGGATGAGAAAT